TTTTCCCCATCAGCAATCAGTGGTGCTCCCCCTTTAGCCCGCTAGCACACCGCGGCCGCCATCATGCCGCCTCCTGCCCTGCTCCTCGTCCTCCTCAAGATCTCATCTTTGTTTGAGCTTCTTTTTTCCCTTCTACCCTCCTCCCCCTTTCGCACTCGCACACAGACCCACAAAGAGTGAGTGAGTGACTAGCTAGCTAGCTTCCACACACACACCCGTTTCCCGTTGCGTGCTGCGGCAGCCGGCAGGGGCAGGGGCAGGGGCAGGGGCGGGCAGCGGCTACTGGTGGCCGTGTTGCATCGCCATCGTAGCAGCACTGCAGCAGCCTGTTCGCTTGGCTGACGGTGAGAGGAAAATACTGTTTGTGAGCTGGAAAAAGTAAGGTAAGCCAAATAAACAGGGCGAGGGGCCAGAGTACTGTAGAAGCAAGCAGCAGAGTACCGGGGCGTGTCGCTTCCGGCGTCTCAGCCTGATCGGCTGGTTTTATCGTCTCGTAAACGATCGTAAATTTTAAATCGGAACAATATTTTTCAGTTACACCAAATCAGCTAACAGTGCTACTTTACAATCCAGCGACAAACAAGCCCAACCAAACGAGAAGGCCGGCCACGCCCAGTAAAAATCTTTGCTCGCTTGATTGGGCTCAGAGCAGCTGGAGATGCCTCTATCTCTCAGCCAAAAGTCACTCTCACGTCACGGATTCGCCTGCAACAAGCTCTCGTCCGGCCACGCCGCTGCGACTCCGATTCAACTCGACTCGAGTGTCAGTCGGTCCTCGCGTGGAGAACCAAAGATTTTTACTGCAGCTTTCTCCACCCGAGGGCCCTAGTTTACCGTGCCGAAGCGCCGGGGCCCACACGTCAGAGTCCATGTTTTCCGTGGTGTGCGTGCAGCGTGGCAGCCTGGCAGGGTTTTGGTTTCTCGAATCTGGGGGCGCTGCGCTTGCTTTGACTGCTGCCTGAACCTACAAATTTTAATCCGTAATGCTTTTTTTATTTCAAAAGACAAGTAGCAGTATTTCGTGACGATTCTCGTATTAGATTTTTGTACCTTTCTAATGCTTCCTCGATATATAACTAAATCACACCGTTTTTTTAAAAAAAAACTTCGATAGTTCGATCGTCAATGGAACATACAAAAAGGGGAAAACATTGTTCAAAGCGTGTTCGTTTATACTAAAATTTGGCTTATTTTGATGCTTATGCTAAAATGTTATCAGAGAAAAATACTGTTATATGACTAAAAAATAATGTTAAATAAGCTCGAAATGAAAAGTTTCAGTTTCAGATTCCCATCGCAAGTGTCCGCTACCGAACACTAGGAAACCGGGGAGTGAAACGGGTACCGGATGCTCCAAAATTTCTTCAGATTCGAAGCAAGTGAAGGATGTGAAAAAGGGTGCACTTGTAGGGACTCGTTTGCCGTCTTTCCGTGCCACCGCTCCGTTTCGAGGTGGTGTCTGGTTTTTTGCCACGTCACACGACCAGGGCAACGTGTGCTATCTAGGGCCTATTTGAATAATAGCTGGCAGGTTAAAATCAGTGCTACTAAATTCAAATAGAATCACTGGTAGATCTACTAGAAGTGCTAACTAATTAGTTCTAATAAGGTCCTATTTAGATCGAAGCTTCTAAAATTTAGACAACTAAATCAGTTGTTAAACTTTAGCCACCTCTATTTAGTTTGGTGGACTAAAAGAGCCTTTTAGTCCCTTTTAGTCAGAGTGTTTAGATCCAAAGAGACTAAAAAGTGAGGCAGCCTGAGCTTTAGTCCCATTTAGCAACCCCTTGGTGACTAATTGGCTAATATCTTTTTAGTCCTATTTAGTCATACTATTTAGGTAAAAAGTGATTAAATAGGACTAAAATTAGCCAGCTAAACTTTAACAGGCCAATCTAAACATCCCCTGACAAGTTTAAAGTTACTAATAGACGCTAATTACGTACCAATCACTTATCAGCAACATATAAGTAGCGGATTTAAACGGCCTCAGCTAATAGTCACTAGGCTAGCACTAGTGTGGATCCAACGGGCCCTTACTACTCCTGAGTGAATGTGTTTGGTTCGTTAGATGAACATGGATAGGAGATGGCGGTCCATATATGTTTTTGACGCGTTTGGCTTAGGGACATGTTGGACAGGGATAACCATGTTGGAAGAATATTCCTTAATACGCCCGTTGAGCTAAGTTGAGCAAAAACTGACGGATGAGCTCCTCCAAATTTGTTTAGTGGTGCTTGCTTCTTCTTTTTTGCACAAGTTTACCGGTGCTTGTTGACATGGATAGAAGCATTAATTGCTTTTTCTTTCTTTTAACAAACATTGAAATGGTTTATCTTGCAAGCAGTTTATTTATCGTGATACGTTTGTATCTTATCCCAAAAACTATGGACCGTTATCCCATCTAAACTTATCCTCAAACCAAATGCACTCTAAGAGCAGATTTATCCTTAAAATTGAGTTCTTTGGTTTCAAACTTGAATCCCTAGTATTGAGATCTTTTGGTTCCAAAATCGAGGTGAAATGGTAATAAGCTTAACCTAGTATGCTAACATTTTAGTCCGTAGCTTCGTTCCACAAAGAAAGATATACTAACATTGTTTTACCACTATATTGTGTCTTTGAGAGATATTTAAGGCTTGTTGAATCTATTAATATTTAATACTAATAGTTAACGGGCCTGTTCGCTGGTTGGTGCTGGTGCTGGTTTGGGTTGGCTGATACTGGTTTTTTGTGAGAGGAAAACACTGTTGGCTGGCTAGTTTGGGCTGACTGAAACCAACAAGCGAACAGGCCAAACAACTAAAACTAGTATACATACTAGTGGATTCAAACAAACATGCTAACAGACCAACTAACTATTAGCTAGAAAACTGCCTATTAGTTTCATTAGCATGTTTAAGGCTGCTAATAGATACCAATAGGTGCCAACTATGTATTAGTAGACGGATCATATACGGTCCCTGCTAATAATTAACTAGCCAACTATTAGTGTCAGCGGATCCAAACATGCTCTTAGATTATTTCACTTCATCATGTGTCTTAAAAAATACTTCCTCTATCTACGAGAGAATGCAATTCCTACTTTTTAATAAGTCAAACGATTTGAAGTTTGACCATAGTTATAAAAAAAATACTAATACACCAGAGTTGACATCTTTATATCGTATATGATATAGTTTTGTTAGATTCTAATCGTTGTCGATGTAGTTTCGACCATATGGTGTCGTTTTTGACATTACGTTTCAATGATAGCATATCATTTTCGTTTCTATTAACAGAGAAATGTGCAATTGACAGCGACGGAGCTTTCTTCGATCGTTTCTACTTCTACCCCTACTTTTGTGGGAAGAGGGAGTAATAGGATAATACCTTCCTCTACGGACGGACGGAGCACTTTTTCAGTCTCGGCCGGGCCGAAGGACGCACAAGTAAAGTTGATGGATTTTATTCTCCCATCTTGCATTTCTTTCTCTTTTTGAATGAAAAGTTGGTCGTTGAAATGGAATAATGGATGGACTTGGTGACGATGCCACGCCACCTTTTGTTTGATTATTTGACCGAGAGGGCCATCCTGCTCCGGCGAGTAGGTGACGAATGCTGCTGGTGTCTGGTGTGCTGAGACTGAGAGATGCACGAGCTGGAGCACATGGTAAAGCTGCTGGCAGGCACGACTCAACAACAGTGTTAATAAAATAATAAGTTATTATGGGGTCCTCTATGCATCAAATCCATTGTCGTCTAGTCCGGTTAGGATACCTGGCTTTCACCCAGGCGACCCGGGTTCAAATCCCGGCAATGGAAATATTCCTCTTTTTTTTTTCCTTTTTTGTTCTGTGTGTAAGTGTGTTGCTTGTTTTTCTTTTTTTTTCCTTTTCCTTTTTTTCTTTTTCTTTTTTTATTTTCTTTTCTTTTTTGCTATGTGTGTTGCTTGTTTTTCTTTTGGAAAATATTCCTTTTTTGTTCCGTGTGCTGCTTGTTTTTCTTTTTTTTCTTCTTTTTGTATTTTCTTTTTTGCTATGTGTGTTGCTTGTTTTTCTTTTTCTTTTTCTTTTTTGTTCGGTGTCCTGCTTTTTTTTTCTTTTTTCCTTTTTGTTATGTGTGCGTCATTTCTTGCCCTTTAGTTGACACGTTTACAATTGAACTGTTCTGCAGAGGGCACAACGATATCTGATTTGCATCTCTCCGCGAGAGCAACTGCCTTCAGTCCCGTTCAGGCGAGTCGAGCATTAGCCAAACAGTGACTGAAATAGGCATCACTTATTAAACTGTACGTCAGAAAGAGCACTTGATAATAGTAGCTCTGCCACTCTGCGAGAGCCCAACAGCAGTAGATTCAAGATGGAACTTAATTGTTCATTTCTGTTTGACACTACCCTACCACTCCACTCATTGGTTTTTGTTTGCAATTTGAAAACATAAACGAGGCAATGCGCTTCAGTGTCAACTAAGACGGGAGCTTTATGATTTTCCAAAAGATGGCCAAGAACATTCCAAGTAGTTACTGTATCAGTCGCACTACAGTAGCGCCACGCCATGTACCAACGGAAAAAGCTCGAGCGTACACTGCACTACTAGCAATTAGAGTCCCGAGAGCTCAAACAACACAATGACAAGAAACACAGCAGATGCACAGCACAACTAGACCGGTGGAGCCCAGATAAAAACAGGCTCTTCATCATTCTTCAAGGAGCCCGGTGATATGAATTTTGTGACAAGAATGCCTATTGGGCTGTCACCGTCCAGGTACACATTCGCTCAAGGCTTCTGTCGAGGCCAACTAGCCCACCTATTCAATTTACAAAATCTAAGCACTAGCACCCAAACAGTAATCATAACCCAATGTGGTTTTTTGTTAGGAAAAAACGTGGTAGGTCCAGGAGGGCGTCTGAATTGGCCTGCCACGCGAACCCCAGCCCCACGGTTTCAAGTCATGCACAGTGGCGCCTCAAGTGAAGGAGCAATGTCCCAAATGACCCAGCTGCACGGCAAACCTCTTGTCATCTTGTTAGCAATTCGATATCACCTCCAACTTCTGCAACCTTCGTGTCCATAGAGGACTTCGCGCTGCTCGCGACGCTCTTAACATCGAGGTCAAGAGCAAGGGACTTCACGAGGCCCTTGAGCATCTAGAGTAAATTAGGTTAAGGGCAACACATGCCAAAGCATAAAAAATTAGAAGAAATGATGGAAGCAAGAAAATTGACAAGCATGAAATGCTGCAATAATGGAATGTTGAAAAAGGATACAAGAGAACCGATTGCAACAAGTGCCCGGTATTTTGAGTCAAAATCTTGAGTGTCATCTTCAACGATCTGTAAGTTCAAGAAATGTAAGAGATGGGATTTCTCTGGAAATTGCAATGGCTGGATACAGTAGGCTGGAAAACTCACTTCAAGGGCGGCAGAAAGAATTTGTGCCTGACTTTGTTCATCCTTTGATTCAATTGAAAGAACAGCATAGCTGCACAGCAAATGTAAGGGACTTCAGCAATCTCGAACGCTCTTTTCATTTTCTAACGCTGTGGAAACAAAATTGCAATGCATAAATAGGTAGAATTCAACTTGAGACTCACTTCAGCAGAAGCGTGGCATATGCCAAGTGTGCATTCTTGCTAAACGAAGACTTGCAGTTAGACAAGGAATCAATGATCTGAAATTAGGAAATAAAATTGTCAGTCCAGAAAAGCAAGACTAGAAAACATGCTAATATTTTTATGCACAACAGAAAAGGAACTCAAGAGAAAATGAATTATTTAACTTGACAACTGACCTCAGCGCAGTGGATCCTCAACCACTGGTGCAAGCATGAGTTGTCAAACAAGTTTGTCACAGCTTTAAGAACTGTAAGCAAATTTGCTGGCTGTGCAGGCGGCGCAACAGCTTTACGAAAGGTTTCCAAAAGTATATCTGACAAACATGAGGAACGAAGCTTTGTTCAATACCAACAGATATTGTTTGATTTTCAGTAAGAGCCAATTCGAGTGAATAAGAGACATAGTGTAGACAAATAAACAATTTATGCTTGAAGAGTTGCAGATAATTCAGATGTGAAAGGCTGGGGATTAGCAAAGGGTATCCAAAATCCTACCATCTCCAGTTTCGATGGTCTTGAGAAGTAGAGCAGCTCCATCAGGATGCAACACAAACATTCTCAGAAAATCAATAACTGCAAGGTCGAAAGACACCTTTCAGATCAACTGAAAACCATGGCCGTACAAAATGAAGCTTATAAATGGCAGCCAAGAAATTTAACAAATATAGCTTTTCTTTATGTGGTTTATTTGACCAAGAGCTTAAGGAGTTACAAGTTCTTTCCCCGACTAGTGGGTATCACTTGTTCAAAATAACATGATGAAAATTACAAAATGAGAGAGATCCAAATTTCAGCATTTAATTGCACTTAGCCACTTACCACTGAAAAAGAAGGTAGCATAAGCATATGATAATCGAAATGACACAGTTGCAACTATAATCAAGGACTTTCGCTGTAAACTAGCCAACTAGATTGAACCACAAGTTCTAACACTCACCAGCCAAGAGTTTCTAACAAATTAATGGACGGTCCTTTTCTTCTTTTTACAAAGACAATTCAACAGGCTAATCGAACTATCATGCTATCATGCTTACTATTCTTATGGTCCAAAGAGGATATATACCTGGAAACATCATTTGTGGAGGCCAAGCCTTCAATATCTTTACCAACAATGCCATATCAGCATCTGCAAGCTTACTTGTGTGATAAAATGATGTCTCTTTCAACACTTTCACTATGGCAGGTAATCTTGACATCTCCGCCTCACACAGAGATAATTGTTTCTGTTCCTGAATATAGATAAGTTAAAATTAAACCATGTGGAGGTATCTCTGATGAATTTCTTTTCTTTTGGAAAGGATTATGATTCTAGACTGTCAGTTAACATTAGTCGAGGTATCGCCTACTAGACTGTCAGTTAGCATTAGTCGAGGTCCACCAAAGTCCAACCACAACAGCCATATTTAAACGCTTTGAGCTAGATCCTAGATGAACTATTGTAAATAATGTGTAACTAAAGGTGTTCGAAACACACAAGCTTAGTTTAGTCCACAACATACCAAAAGCACAAGGAACAAGTCAGTAAGTAATTTAGAAGGTTACTTCAGGTTAATAGATACTCCCTCCGTCCATTAGTCTCCTTCGTTTAAGCAAAAAAAAAAAAAAAAAAAAATCCTTCATCTGAGGTGGTCCTGCTTATTACGGTTGCCTGGCGAGCGCGCGCGACTCCTCGGATGGATTGCGTGAAATTACTACGTCGCCTTCCCGTTTCCTTCTCTGTCTCGCATGCGCGGGATCACGGTGCGGGAGGGTCACGGTGCAAGCAATCACGGTGCGGTGTTAAACGGAGATTTAGCGGAGGATGTGGGCCATCGGTGCTCCTTGGTTGCATGCGGCCATGCACATTAATTGGAGTAAATCGCTGTGATCCAAAGGACGTGGGCCGTTGGTGCTCCTTGGTCTCTAGGCCCAAGGCTTAGACGAGGGAGACTAATGGACGGAGGGAGAATATGCTATTCATACTTCACACTAGCATTCTATGTTAATCAGCTTGACCCTACTTAATGCATGTTTGAGACTTATAACAAACTTTAATCCATTCCCTTCACTTGAGTAATTTACTCATGTGCCATCCCCATCGCCTCCACATCTCCAGTGGAAGACCATGTCCTCTCTCTTTAAACATACTTCTACACATTATATTTTTCAGTGCACGTCACATGTGCAGCTCTAAAGACAAATCAATTAGTGTGCAAGGAACAAAGGTTACTCATACCCACTACTGAAAACTCATTAACATAAGACCTCATGATGTAAACAAAGCTACTTTTTCTAGGTTTCCAGAAGAAATATTGATATGTTAATTTTTGGACGATACAAAAAGCGCCAGGAAATAAGCTTTCAGATTACCGAGTCAGATGAAAGTCTTGCATTAAACTCTGTAACTTTCTTTAGGATTCCATCGAACTGAGCTGTCTCAAATGACAGCGTTCCACTCTGCAAATCAAATAAGCAGACTCCAGGTTAAGTTGTAAAAAGTCTGTAAGACAAATCACATTATTTTAATGGCAACTTGCTTTTGGTTTAAAAAATAAAAAATGCGTTAATCATCAGCTACAGTAACAAAAGATCGGGCAGATGATTGGATCAGAATTTGGACCTATACTGCCTTTATTATTTTGTACAAGGCTTTGTTTGACTTGGCAAGAAAATTTGACCATTAGTTCTTGCATACATATATTATACTAACATATCAATATTGTTAAAAGTTTTATGAATCTACCAGAATACCTTCTTGTAACTAAAAAACACGTACGGTTACTGCAAGACATGTTATTAACTTTTGAAGTGTGCGGACACCTTATTAACAACAACAAAAGGCAAGGGAGGAAATAAGTGTCCACCACTATCAAGGGATGCAAAGCGGACATTGTCACTAAACTCTTACACTTGCAAGTAAGCTTCACCAATACGACTCAGTTTCCCAGATCAAGTGAAATTTAACTGAGTTTCAAGTCCAAGTATCAGTGTGATTTACAAAATAAATATATGTAACAATCATGAAGATCAGTAGTACCTTTGGTATGTGCTTGAAAGTTGGTTTCGGAGCATTACCTGCAAAATAAGTATGTATTACGTCATGATTCAGGATATACCCCAAAAAAGGATTCCAATTTAATATACAAAGAAAACGGGGTCAGCTTGATTTCCAAAATTTAGGCATGGATAGTGAATACAAACCATTCGATGAAGATGGTTGCCCAGGTACATATGCGTTGGCTGATATACAGAATAAATTTGGTTGTCAGCAGTAGCAACCGACAGGCAAATATGTAACAGTAGCAAAAAAAAAAATCAACATGCTTACCCCCAGTATAGGGATCCCGAAAAGAAGGATCTGGAACAAAGTTGTTCTGGCCAGAATTCTGCAGTATAAATTCTACGACCTGTTGGCGATATGTCAAAGGCAGATTTTCTTTCAGGAGCCACTTGTCCGCGACTGTGTAGGGGTCATCTACAATGAAAACAAACACGGATGTAACAGGTGCATAAGATAACCTTGACAATAAAAACTCTCACGTCCATGAATATAAAAGACAAAGAATCATGACGTATGGACAGTTAAATGTATCACATAAAAACAAAGCATATGAACCATACTACTAGTTGGTTTACTCTAGTCTAGAACCAAAAGCAGAGAAAATCACAGAAAATAGAAATACAAGTGATATACCTGAACGGTTATAGGGTAGTTTTCGTATAGGTTCTCCATCTCCAATATCAACATTAAAAACTGCAGAAATTTTAGAATATCGTAAGAAAACAAAAGGTTAGCGCAAAACACATACAATTAAACTCAACTTACCAAAATCGTACCGAACACCATCATGAACCTGGCCTTCAGCAGCATCACCAGGTCCGTCCACAACTTCACCAATCTAGCAATTTGGCCGGGCAAAAAATGGGATTAGATTTACTCGAAATTAAAGGGTATAAACAAATAAATGCAGTACCATGTCAAGGACAGATGACTACCAGAGTGCATAACTATATCTTAATGCGATAAAATAGCCCAACTAATTATGTCAAAAACTTAAACCTTTACAGCTAGAGATTAAATTATGCTTCTATGAACTCTGTAATTTTGTTACAAGCATAATGAAATTCGGTTGTGACCGGTGCGGAAAAAAAAGAGATTAAATTATGCCGGGGGAATGATCATCAGACAAGTAGTGGCCTGCTAGTTAAACAACTCTATAAAAACAAAATAGTAAATGTAAAACCACCAAGATATTGCACTAATCCTCAACTCTGCAGATTCTCTTATGTGATCGGGACATAGACTTGGGTAAATATGATGCGAAACTGAAAAAGGTCTAAAGCAGAAAGGGGCTTACTTTGTCCCATTTTAACTCTGCTGAATTCCATGAATATGCAACACCATTGTCCCCTTCTCGAACAATTAATGTTTGTCCATCAGAGTTCCCTGCTCGAACAAAACGTTAGAAAAGGTAAAATTACTAAGGAAAGATATATCGAAACACACTAAAGACAGAATTTGAGCTACTTAAGCTTAAACACCACATCATTCAAGCTTCCACTGAACATTAGCTTTCACACTACTACTCCCTATTCTTACATGCTAAACAATAATCAAGGCAACAGACTATAAGAAGGCTCTGAATATTTATAGAAGATAGATATGTTGAAATAAAATACAAAATTTTCACATTATATTTTGAAATATAAATGTAGATTGGGCCCATTTGAGAACCATTGAACCAGACTATAATTTAGCCCTGGGTGTCATCTACATGTCAATAATATAAGGATAAAAAAAAGTGATATATAACCTGGAACTTGCAGCGCCTCCACCCCTGGTAGATCCATCAACTTGAGTCCACCAACAGTCTTTCTGTAAAAGCAAGAAATAAGCAATATAATGTGTGAATGATTCCACGGCTCCAATTTTCAGAGAATAGCAACAGTAGACAGACCACAGTCACTATCTATATCAGGTGATGACTGAATAATCCTAGTGATCCAGTTTTCAGAAATAACATGACGATTCTCATGATTGTATCAAGAGTAAATGTACATAAACCATGGTCAACTGGTATCAAAATAAGCAAATACTCTATTCTATAAGAAATGACAAAACCTTGCAGAAGAGAAGGAAATAAATTATGAAACAGGAGATGCCAACCTGCTAATTGTGTATTGAGAAATAAGATCTGTATAAGCTGCAAGTTCCTCATCACTGCAGAACCTGTTAGAATCTGCTGTCCATATCCTTGTAGTGCCATCAGAACAAGCAGTAACAATATCTCCATTTCCCAAGAATTTAGCATCCCATATACATCCCGGGTGTTCAATGCTTTGAATGCAGACACCATCTGCATTGTTTTACTCGAAAAAACAGAAAACGGAAGTACATCAAGAACTTTCTGTACTACACATATGTTTGGTTTTTACAGATAGAATTTTCCTTCTCTACTGCACAAGTTCAGCAGGTAAGTATATAAGTTTCAGTTTCAGCATACTGGACAGAAGCAGAGAGAGGGGAAGTGTTTAACATTCAGTTAGTCACAACTTTACATTTCTTTAGACAAGAAAGTTTGTAGAACGGGTCATACCCTAACTTAGTAAGATTTCACGAGTTGCAAAGAGAATATGTGTACAAGTTCAACATGAGAAATGCTGATGCATTTATAGAATGCAAAATATATCACCTTTCCATATCTTCAAAGAGCGATCCTCACTGCCACTAGCAATTAGACCTGAAGAATGTGCATCCACAGAATATACAAGAGAAGAATGCCCGATCATGTCCAGCAGGGGCTGACCTGTCAATGCCCATAACTTGATAGTGCTGCAACAAACAAAAATATAATGTGTAATTGTGTGAACAAATAATGACCAGTGAAGAAGCAGAGCGACTGCAGTGATGATGCCTAAAACTGAAAGATGGGGAGCAAAGGATTGAGGGTTGGGTCAAAAACATTTTCAGCAAACCCAAGGAAACATTCTACTGCAGACGGTGAGCATAAGTGAACGAGGAGTCTATATGGGTATTCAGTATTCTTTTTCACTTACCTGTCATGTGAGGCAGAAAGAATTCCTAGACCTGGCATTGAGGCTAAACATCTAACAGTATCTGCATGTGACATAAAATTAGGTCAGGTTTGTATACAATGCAAGCTCTATACACCACCATGTGAGATACTCCCTCCGTTCCAAATTATAAGTCGCTTTGACTTTTTTGGTTCATCCATTTTGCTATGTATGGATGAACCAAAAAAGTCAAAGCGACATAATTTGGAACGGAGGGAGTACCATTTAACACACAACCTTGTTAAACAATGTTTTCTGCGGTAGAAATAAAGCAAAAAGGATCAGAACTAAACCTGCATGTCCTGAGAACGTCTGTAAGCAAGTCCTTCCTTTCCATAGCTTAATAGTGGAATCACTTGAACCTATGAAAAAGTGTGAATATGTAAATTGTTAATCAATCACTAGAAAATTTAGTTCATAAATTTATGATAAAAAACATCCAAGCAAAATACCGTGTTATGGAATCTAGATGAGCCAATAACTCTTAGAAAAGGATTATGTCATCACTAAAACAGAGGTCATACATAGTGCATCCAGAAATTTTCTTTAAAAAAATGTGCTTTTGAAAAGCAAGTGCAAGTATTACCTCTATCCCTAAATAAAAGAGCTTCTAGACTTGTTCTAAGTCAAACTTTTGTAACTTTGACCCAATTTATAGAAAAAAAAAGAACACCAATATTTATGACACAAAATTTGAATCATTACATACACCACAAAATATATCACGAAATATATTTTCGTAATGTACTTATTTGGTATTATAGATGTTCATATTCTTTCCTGTAAAGTTGGTCGAACTTACAAAATTTTAACTTAGGACAACTCTAGAAGTTGATTTAATTGGGGACGGAGAGAGTACAAACTAAGCAACTCCACTTCCAACACAGCATGATTTTGGTCCCAAAATTACAGTGTTGAACTGTTTATTATAACAACCATGTAGTGCTAGTATCAGTTGCCAAAATGCCAGATAACAAAAGAAATGATAAATCACATGAACAAGTTACAGGATAGCAGTGCACCAATACAGAATACATGCATAGGAACCAATAAATCATCAATGTCAAAATATATTAGAAGCTTTACCAGTAAAGAGTTCCCCTGTGGGCAGCTTTAGAACAGTTTGCACTGCAACCTTGTGCGCTTCCCAAACCTCTATAGCATTGCCATTTCTCCAGCGTCTTACAGTACTGCATGCAGAATGTGTATGTCAGTGAAGTAGAACAATGGCACTATAGTAAGAAAAACTGGATATCAATTATGACATCTCATTAGAAGAAACACTTCAAGCACAAAGTAATCAGTAAAAGTGCTTGGATAATGAAGCAACATAGAATACTGCTTTTTTATATTTTGTATACGCCATACACAGCTTCAAGCTTAGAACTTTTTAAGTTAACAGCACACGAGCAGGGGATGAACTCAGAATAAGCAAGCAAGCCAAGGAAAGATGCCACAAGGACAAGTAGCATTAGGAATTTAGCATTATGCTTGTCTAAGAGAGTTTACCAATCCATGGATGAAGAGATGATGTCACCGTTAGTGTCTACAGCGAGTCCAGTGACTTGCGAATTGTGCCCCTTCATTGTCTCAACAACTTCTCCTTTTTGCAGATCCCAGAGGAAAACAAATGTATCCATACCACCAGAGACGATTCCACCTTCAGGAAAGCGATCTGAAGGAGGGATCCAAGCCAATGGGCCGACAAAACTTGAATGTCCTGCGAGTGTCTTGGAGAGAACATATTCACTCTCCTTTTCTGGGTTCCGGGTCCAGAACTTCACGGTACGGTCCCTCGACGATGTTGCGATCCCAGCATCACCGCAAACACAGATGCCACGAACCTGTAGAAGAATAAACATGATAAGGCACCCATGAAATTACATAATATAGAACGATAAAAGGTAATTTTGACAATAATAAGGATGATCACAAAGAAACGATTGAACTATAAATTGTTGAATAATCTAATGTGGTGATTCAAGGATGGACCCTAAATCAGTACAACGACAAGCACATGGTGGAATTGGACTTGGAGCAGAACAACAGAAGTCTATGTTCTCTGTCCTGATTACATATATACTATTAAGCACAATTGCACAGAAACAGTGAAACTAATTAATAACTGGCAATCACTGAATCGCCAATCTGCTTATAATGACCTAGTAAAAACAGCCCAAACTACAGTGATCACCTAGACCGGCAAACCCCTCGAGGTTACACCTGCACTAAACCCACAGAATCCACTGCCACAAGGTGAACTCACACTAAGCATCCGGAGGTAAACTACATCCCTCCAATGCACGGGCAACTCCCGCGAACGCACCAAGCGGACCGAGGCAAAACCCAGGAAGGCAGGAACGCAACGAAGCTAGATCGAATCACTGGACGAATCCGCCACAAGCTAACAGATCAAAAGCCCCAGCGGTCCCGCCGCGTGCGGAAACCGAAACCCCTACAGGGCCGAGGGCTGGGGCCTCGGAGCGGGGCGCCGGGCGGATCGAGACCGAGGGTATCGCCACAAGCTTGGAGCGGAAGCAAACGGAGACGGGGGCAGTCGGTGGCAAGAGTGTAGCGGGGAGGGGAAGGGGGAGAGGGGAGCGGCGGCTTACGTCGTCGGCGTGGCCGTGCAGCTGCAGTCCGAGGCGGTACTCGGCCATATCGCCGCCGTCGGTACGGGGCGCGCGGCGGAGCGGGCGAGAGCGACGGAGGATTCGTGGTGGTGTTGCAGGGAGACGAGTAGACGAGGAGTTGGGACTTGGGTCGGGTCGTTGGGAATCGGGAGTTTGGGGACTTGGCAGTGCGGAGCAGCTGTGTTTCGTTCACTTTTGTGGGCCAGGTCCTTCTCCTCTTTTTATACCAAGATGGGCCGTTGAAAGCGAGCATGCGCAGTTTGGCATCAGGACTCCATCTGTCGTGGGCAGAAGATGGTGTGGTGGGTGAGTGGGCTAAATGTCGAGGCCCAGGTCGTGGGGATCGGAAGTGGCCCAAAGTGAGCTGGGCTCTTAATAAGCAAGTTTGGTAGCTTTGGTGCACGGAAGTCAGCCATGAACGGCGAAAATGTGCCGGTCCACCACATGTCACTACTTTTTTTTGCGTTTTGGTCTTTGGCACATGCCGTGCTGCAAGCCTGCGACTGCAACTCGTAAACTTGTTCATACTGGACTGTTGCACGTGACAGGCTTTGATGAATTGTTTTCGAGTTTCAGTACCCAAGTTTTAAAATATTTACAGTCGCTGCTAAAAAACACATTCCTTGAAACTGTACATTTATTTTATAAATACATATATCTATTTTTAAAATCAAAACTACTTGTAATTTAGAAACCGAGAGCGACATTCCTGGGGCCATTCAATTCCCATGGCCATCCCGGCTTTCCTAGGACGCCCTGCTGCGACGACGGCGGCCACTACCACCGCCGTGCGCCGGCCTTCCATGGCCTGAGCTGCGGGCTCCGTCGAGTTTAGTCACCGCGGCACCGACGAAGTACATACAAGATGTACACTTGAAGAAGTACATACAAGATATGTGCCGTGCTCTAGAGAATCATGCACTTTGCAAAAGAATGCTGCTCTGTTTATCTTAAAACCAACCAAACTGAAAAAGAAAAATCCTTTCTATACCATGTTTGTATCTCTCACAACTAAATAATATAAATATATAAATATATAATATAAATAAATAAATAAAATAAATAATTATATATCTAATACTAAAGAGATAAAAAATTCTAGCACTAATAATTTTTCGTCCAACTTAGCCTAAAATGACTCGGTCTCGGTATCAGCTCTGTAAAAAAAAAAGAACCACCAATAGACAGGACGACCCAGCTCAACTCCCGGGCGGTAATACAAAATAGAATCAAACTAGGACACGAGTTCTATCAAACAAAGGCTACCCTTTATATAAAAGGTAAAGAATAAGAATAAGATAATACTAAGAAATAAGTTATAATAGGTTACTGGTTCCTTCATAATACAACTACTTTCATCTTCTATATCAATAACGCGCGATATAGGATTTTAAAAAAAGAAAAACACATTGTGTCACCTGGGGGCTGGGGCACTACATTTGATCGCAGAAAACCATCGACTCTAAAAACCAAATAATTAGACCGTAAGACATGTAGCCTAGGTAAATTAGCTTCCGTATTATTTTCCTTTTTCTCTAGCGAGGAAATAGAATAGAAGTAAAAAGGTTATGGTGAGGAATCGAACTAAAAAATAGTAGAAAAAGGCGTAACCATTTCCACTACACTATGTAGTTGGGTAGCGTTGGGTTGGGAGTTAGGCTTGGGTGGGACGGTTCCGTCTCTGATTTCTGGGACGGGACAGCTCCATTTTTTGTTTGGTTGACAAGGGACGGGATCGATCCTATTTGTGTTTGATTGAAGGGATAAATAGAAATGGGATGGATGGTGGATTCAACGTCTTTAGCTACTGTTTAGTGGGACCCACATGTCAATCTCTTTTTTATCCACTTCCTCGAAGCCGAGCAGCATCGTTCCCATCTCTTCTCGCGTTTTTTCTTTCTTTTCGTCGCGCTCATCTTCTCCTTATCCCCACGCCAACGTGCACCCATGGCCCCTCAGCCGTTGCCGACCACGCCCTCTACCCAGCGTCAGCCACCAGAGATGGCCCCGCGCACGCCTAAGGCCGCCCACTCGCCACACTACAACGTCTGCCACTGCTACTCCTCCGCCCATCGCGCCGCTTCTGCTCCTCCTGCCGCTCCGCTTCCACTCCGTCCGACGCTACCGCTGCCCCATCTTCCACCGTTGCTGCTTCGCCGACACGAGCAAATGGTCGGATCTCGCTACTAGATGGAGCCCGACCTTGCACGTTGCTCGGCTTTGCCTAATCGGTCGCACGCCCCTAGGCCTGCCAGCCCACCCGCCATTAGGAGAGAAGAAAGGCGCTAAATAAGAGGAAGAAGAATAACCCATTGGCCTCCCCTACCACGGTCTATGTGCCCGATCTCAAAAAAAATTAGCACCTTACCTATAGCCTTGTCTGATCGACAATGGCGGCCGTTAAGCCCCTAACCCTAGCCTTGGCAGGTGAGGGGCTCTTCGGCTCTGGTACACCCATGTTGTATCCACGAAATGATGACCCATCCTCATGCAGTTTACCTTGGTCGCACCTTCAATGTGCCTTCGCCTCCACCTAATAAAGTCAACTAACATTGCCGTTGTCCATGCCTGCCGTACAACGAGCTCGAGGCCACCACCACCGAATGTAGACAATGAGAGGAATAAAAGTTAGAAATCGATAACGACCCCATTGCAACGCACGGGCACTTTTGCTAATAATATTAGTTATTATAAAATAAAAAGAGTAAAACGTGGATGTTGGTTTCGTGCGACAATCCATTGTTCCGTCGGTCTGCCTTCCCCCTGCGATCCCCTGCCGCTCGCCCCGCGACCGCGACTTCCCCCTGCGATCCCTGCCGCTCGCCCTGCAATCTTGCCTTGGGCAAATTTAACCGAGAACCGAAAACTAAACCAAAAGAACCAGAACCGAAACCAAAAAATCCGGTTCCTTATTCGGTTCCTGATATTGAGGAACCGAAATAACCGAAGAAAATTCGGTTCCTACTCTCGGTTAACCGAATTAACCGAAAGAAACGAATTACATGAATTATACTTCACTTACTTATATTTTGCAGGATTATGTTTGGTTTATGTGTAGTGTTTTATATTTGAACTGCTATATATTTGTGTTACTATATTGCTATTGTTTTCTTATACATTGTTATTATTAAAAATGAATATAGTGTTGCATAAATTTGCCTTAGAATACGTATATTTATTGTTGTCTTGAGGTCTTTTAAAAAAATCCAGTTAGTTCGGTTAGAACCGAAATAACCGAGAACCGAAATGCTCGGTTCCTAAATTTTTTGAACCGATTGGTTCCCGTTTTCTAGGAAACCGAACTTCATCAATAACCGAGGGAACCGAACCGAGAACCGACCGCCCACCCTGATCGCAATCACCACAATCTCCGTCGGTCTGCCTTCCCCCCTGCACTCCTCACGCGGAAGCTCAAATCGCGCATGCTCAAAATCACGCATGCGATCCGTGGACGGGGAGGGAAGAGAGGCAGCCGCCCCGTGAAGGCGTTCACCTCCATCCATGGCAATAGGAGCTCCTCATTGCGTTGGTAGCGCAGGAACGGCCGCAGGCCCACCGTGCTGTAGCCGCCGGCGTCGATGTGGTTGAGTGGGAAGGAGGACGGCGCCGCATCCACGTCCTCCTCGCCGCGCGAGCCCCATCCACGAGGATGGCACCGCTCGGATCCGCCGGAACCCAGAAGTGACCGACGCAGCTCAGTTCTTCCCTCTCCCCGGCTGCTTCCCCTCCCAGGCCGCACCTGGATCTGCTCGCAATGAGCGCCATCCTCCATCATCGCGCTCGATAGCAGCAGCAACAACATCTCTGCTCGTAGAGTTTGGAAGAGCCTGCCGCCGCATCTCTGCTCGCGATGAGGAAAATGTTCCCATCGTAGATGATGACGACGATGCCTCCACTGACCACTGTCTGGCCCCGATGCACCTCCTCTGCGCTCCAACGATCTCGATCTACCTCGATACCTCGACTGGCAAGGTCAGCACCTCGTGATTCATGATTTCTCTTCCATGATGTCATCCCTGATCCCCTTCACAGAGAGATGGAATACCGAAGGATGCCAGGGCAGGGACGTCCGATCTGGTGTGTGTGTGTGTGTGTGTCGCCCTTGCCACTTTTGCTTGCTCACTTGCTTGTCATGTTCTATTGTGAAGGGTATCAAGGATTCAGGGCTTGTAAACTTTATACTCAGATTGTATTTGTGAAGTATGGCATAAAGGTTGACAGGGATGATGCCCACCATGTATTCACTGAAATGCCCTCAAGGTAATATATGGTACAAGTTTTAATTTCTCGTTGATTTTGTTTTGTGAATTTGATATGAATTTCACTGTTTCTTTTCATTTGGGCCCAAATTAGAGTGGCAACTTTGAAAATACTCTAAACGTTTTCTTCATGAGTAATTAATCTTGTACTATTGTCATTTAATTGAAAATGCAGTTCTATTGTTTACAGAGCTCTGGCGGATAGGCTTTGTTCTACTGTCCTTGATGAACATCCATGCTGCAGCACTCCTGCACGAGTGTTTTAACAAATCCATGCAATTTCAACTAATGCATGGTGCAGACAGGGTAAGTGATTTTAAAAAAAATGTTGTTTCTTGAATAATGGAAGATTTTGTAGCTGTTATCTTTAACCCTTGAGTTAATCTAAACCTATTCTTGCATTATAACTTACAAGTTCAATATACTGCTCAAGCTGTAGTTTTAAAAAGGAAATCATTCGCTAATTGGGATCTACAGTTATTATGTAGGGTCCTAATCAGTAGTGCTCTTTTCTTTGTTGTGCTGCGTGCTTAAACAGTCTTTATCTATTTCCTCATGCTAACAGAGCTCTAAGCAGACAGTTGCGCTTGTTGGATGTCAGGCTTGCTAAAATTGAGGATCATGCATTTGGTTGGAAGCAAGAGAGCAGCAAGTCCCAGTCAGCTCTGGCTAACCAATCATGGTCTCCAGATGGCTGGTACATGTCGTCTGGTTCAGCAGATCTAGTGATCCACGTCTTCGAAACACTACAAGTTTGTTTCCTGATCTATGAAACATTGTCATGTCTTATATAGTATGCTTATCAAAATATAATAAATGAAAATCAATTAAAAAAATGGATCTGAATTGCTATGCCTTGCAGCAGAACAAAGCCGCCTTCATTCCTAGCATTAGTGCAAAAGTGCAGCAAATTCCATTATGCCACACAGCTTGTTCTATTCTCATTCTTTGTTTAAATTTGGTCTAACATGTTGAAACATTTCAAAGTGGAAAGTGACAACATGATAGAATTAATAGTTGGATTGCTAAGGACTACATCCTCCTTCCACTCTAGGACTTACAAGAACCATGAATCTAATGCAGTTATAAACTGTTCAATGGAGTCTACAACATAATGAATAAAAACAAGCTTATATTAGTGAGCTCAGGAATAGGACAAATACCTGATAGTTGCATCTAACAAACAACCACATAATTGCTTTTTTACAGATGAAATTTACAGATTTTTTTACTGCAGATTGATCACTTTGTGAAGAACATCTTCTCTTAGTGGTGACCAGACGAACCACATCCACTACTTTTGCTTCGGTTATCAAGGCTCCGTTTCAGGTATATATTTCATAGCTCATCTCATATCTGAATCTCAAAGGATATGATGTTTTTTTCATTGGTGAAACACTGTCTTTTCAATCCAAGACTTCTTTGAACCTATATAAGCATTCAGTGGACCATGACTAAGTAGTGGCTGGTTTATTAATTGCTTAGCTTTATGAGCAATTTAGATGTTTGAGAATGCAGATGGTACTTGTTCTCAAGCAAAACTGAAAACAGATGCTACTGCTATCTCTATTTTTTCTATAGTACAATTGAAAATAGATGCTACCGCTACACTTTCTTTGATCCCTAGCCAATATAGTTTTGAGTTACTAGGGTTAGAGCAATAGGTTACCATGTGCCTTTGTGCCGTGAGAGTTAGTTGCTTGTTTTCTTAACCTGGATCAGTTCTCTGACAAAAATAATGCTTAGGAGTCTAATACTGACATGCTAGACCCCTGCTTAGGAGTTTGATATTAACATGCTAGAACCATCCTGGTTTCAACAGTAGTAGAGAGTTTTAGAATACTCAATCGCTTTGAGTTTTATATTGCATTGGCCATCAACTCGGTACATTTCTTTTTTTCCGTGCACTTCTTGTAGATTTACTTATTTTGTGAAGCACCAACTTATGCTTACCTGTTTCTGAATCCACTATACAGTAGTAGATAAGTTCGATGTGGTTCAGGTGCTTAGGAACATACAGTAATTAGACTTCAGCCAGGCATTGCTTGTGGACTTGAAATCAGATTTTTTTTATAGAAAAAAACAAGAACTAATATTTACATATATACTTGGACCTGTATACTGGATGGTACGGAGATGCAGCAGAACTTATTCGTAGATTTATTCACGCACGAAAAAAATGGATATCAGAGATTTCTTCCCGCCGATATAAAACATTATCTTAGCCGCATCACTGAAAAGGTCTATACAGTAGAGTTTGAGCCTGCGACGCTGCGCTCTCTGTGACTGTGTTAATTTCACAAACTTTGTTTTTGATTAAATGTCACTTTAACGTCGGTATTTAATTTTATAGTATTGTTATCTTATCGTACGATCCATGTGTTTTAGTACAAAAATTTAATAGTCCCATAGCAACGCATGAGCACGAACCTATTCTCATTTCTAGGACTGGTCTGTTTGTACAGGCAAGCCTATTCTCATTTCTAGGACTGGTCTGTTTGTACAGGCAGACATAAGTTTAGTCGCATTCAATATTTCATGAACACATAGATTTATGTCGATTTTGTGTACAGCTCTGTTCGGCATGCCATTTTTCTGTGTCGATTTTGGGAACCGGAAAGCAGATTCTTCTGCTACTTGCATAGTTAGTAAATACCAATTGTTTAATTTGCATTATGGTCTTCTGTGGCAGCTGGCTCAAGCAATTCTTAGGGATCTCCTTTCTCTCAAGAGAGAGCAGCTCATCTGCTTCTTTATGAGAAAGCCAGATTTATCCAAGCTCTATGGGTCAGCCGTTGGTCGTGAGGAGCAAGGGTTGTGTGGCAGCAATACTATTTTCCTCTCCAATTCTAATAATATGTATATTTCTGCAATTTGTTTAATTTTTCTTTACTTTAGTACTGCAGTTTCAGGGCATGTTTTTATTTTTGAACCTTGTCATTCTAGATAGTAAATTGCTTCTTGGTGGATTATTTATTGGTGAGCGCTAGGGGTACATTTTAGATCGGATTCTTTGTCATTCGATAGTTTAGCTTAAGCGTGGTGCCAATTTTCAATTAAGTTGTCATAAAATACAGGGTTCAGCTGACATGCACACGATAACATATTTGGTGCTGGAGGACACCATCTTTCCCAACACTTGACAAGGCCATCCTAGAAGGGTCTGTGCCCTTTTGACGGCTATCTCAGGAGCCAAAGAGCATGTGTGGACGGGTACCCGAGCAAATTTTCCACTATAGCCTATATGTTGCTATCATGGCTGCACAAGCACCACAGTACACATCATATAAATGATGGTCTGGTGATGCATGAACGTTGTTGGACTTGCTTTGTCTACAACTGATCTGAATTTGTCTGTCTTCAGTATGTGTCTGCAAAGTTTCTGTTTCATGTTCATTTTTCTGCTTACTAGGGAAGGGGAAGATACAATGTTTGCTTCCTTATGATTGTTGCCCAAATTTCTCTACTGTAAACACTACCCAGCAGAAGGTGATCCATAGTTTCCGGCGCCTGGTCACAGATGATGCACTCATCAGAGCTCTGCAACCCATGACAATGTCTCCTAGTAGTAGCCCAACAACGTCCATGCGATTTGCTTGGCCCCAGGCGGTTTTGATGAACCATAGAACATTGCGACATAGGTTGAGGCTGCAGAATACTGCTGGTCGCCGGACAAGCACCAGGAGGTCAAGACACTGGTAATGTCACGCACCCATGCCCGTTGTGGAATTGCTCCGGACGCTCCCTCGCCATTGCCGCGAACAACGCCATAGGAATTTCTGAGTTTGGAGTTTTTGATATTTTGTATATTTCTACCAACAGGCTTCACTTGAGCAAATCAGGATTAAGGATGGCAACGGATCGGGTTTGGGGCGGATATCCGCGGGTTTCGGGTTCGGGTTTGGGGATGGTTTTTCACCCACGGTTTTCGGGTTCGGGGCCCCGAAACCAATCGGGTTCGGTTTCGGGTTTGGTTTTCCACCCGTGGATATCCAATGGATATCCGAAATAAATCATTTGGAATTAAAACTCATGTTTTATAATATACTAATAATAATTTGTTTACTTAGATTATTAAATTTATTTAAAGTTGACTCATGAAAATATTTATTATTTGTCGCCTCTTATTTATACATGTGAATATGTGTATATATATCCGCGGGTTTCGGGTATCCATTCGGGTTTCGGGTATCCGCGGGTTTGGTTTTGGTGATGGATTTCCAACCGAATCGGTTTTCGGGGCGGATTCGGGTTTCAATTTCGGGTTTCGATTTTGGGTGCACGGAGACTCCACCCGATCCGAACCCGACCCGTTGCCATCCTTAATCAGGATAGAAGGCGTATGTGTTGCTGGGTTCGGGATATCAAATGTCACAAATGCACTAGCTTAGAGCAACATAAGAGTTATGATGTCTGGTTTGAATTTTTTTGGGGGAAGAAAATATGGTCCAACAATATTGCTATCTCGAATTCCAAAATGTCATTTTTTGTCATGGTAAAATACACGTACAACAATTGTCTTGACTTTATTTTTTTCTCTTGCGATGCATGAGCATTAACGTACTAAAAACACACGGATCACACGATAAGATAACAATACTGTGAAATTAAATACCGACGTTACAGTGACATTTAATCCAAAAGGCAAAGTTCATAAAATTAACATAGTCACGGAGAGTGCGACGTTGTAGGCTCACAAATTTTATTGTATAGATCTTTCTGTGAGGCGGCTAAGATAATGTTTTATATCGGCAGGAAGAAATCTACGATATCTATTTTTTTCGTGCGCCAATAGATCCATTCAGCTGCATCTCCATACCATCACGTACTATGAAATTAAGGGCCTGTTTGGTTCCATAGAACTAGAGACTAAAGATTATTTTTAGTCCCTTTTAACCAAATAGGATGGACTACTAGAGGGACTTTTAGTCTCTAGTCCATTAGTCTTTTGAGAGGCTTTTTAGGACTAATGGACCAACTTTACAGCCCTTATCACTCCCTTCCTCTCCTCCCTCACCTATGTCCAAAGGAAGAAGAATGATATTTTAGTCTTTATTGAGCCCTTTAGTTCCTTTTAGTCTCTGAAACCAAACATGTTATTTAATCCCTCTTTTAGTTTTCTTTTAGTCTCTAGTCTTTAGTCCCTGGAACCAAACAGAGCCTAAATATCTAGGAGATTTCTTCCTATCGATATAAAACATTATCTTAGACTCTCCGTGACCGTGTTAATTTCATGAACTATATTTTTTTATTAAATATCAATTTCATAATATTGTTGGCTTATCGTGCGATCAGTGTGGTTTTAGTACAAAGTTTAGCTTATTCCATAGCCACGCACGAACTTTGTTTTTTATTAAATATTAATTTTATAGTATTATTATCTTATCGTACGATCGGTGTATAATTATAGTACAAAGTTTAGCTTCTCCCGTAGCGACGCACGGCCAGGCTACGAGTAATGAGTCTGGGAGGAAAAAGATCGAAGATGACCGCCAGAAACAATTGCATGAAAAATTACAGCAGTGGCCTGGAAAAAAAGAGAGAAAAGGGAAATTTTGTTCATCAATCAATCACAGGGACACGAGGATGAAGAGGCAGAAGCATCAGGCGGCGAGAGCGGCGACCCTGCCCCTGCGTCCAGCGACCCGTCCAGTCCCGGGGGCGCAGCTCCGGCTCCTGGGGAACAACACGACGGCGGCGGCGGCGGAGGCGAAGTCACTGGGCCCGTCCTCGTCGATCCGCGCCATGGCGCCGGCGACGCTGTGGCTCCTCGGCACGGCGGCCGGGTGGCGCTGCCGCTCCAGCTCGGCCGCGCGGCGCTGCGACGCGGCGCGGATGAGCTCCCGCAGGTCCTCGTCGGCGTCGGAGGCGGAGGAGTAGCGGCGCGAGGAGGCGGCGGAGCCGAAGCCGCTCAAGGACGGCGCGGCGGCGAAGGTCGGGTAGCCGAACGCGGCGTCCCTTGGGAGGTGGCCCGCGCAGCCGGTCAGGCTGCGCACGTACAGGTCCCGCGCCGCGCACAGCGCCCGCCGTGGCCCGCGCCACAGCCAGCTCACGTGCTGGGCCAGCTTCCGGCCGCCGGCCGCCGCCGCCGCCCGTCGGCTCATGCTGCGGGCCTGCGGCTTCGATTAATTCCGCCGCCGGCGACGTACAGGTAGGAGACGGACGGAGGAAACCACTCGATCGCTTGGATTAAGCAGGCGATCGGTGATCCGACCGGCGAGCAGGGCAGCTTCTGCACGTGGTGGCGAAGAAGCAGGGCAAGGCGATTCGTTAGCAGCAGTAGCGATGGATTAGCCTGATGAGACGTGTTTATTATAGTAGACGGGCGATCTGCGACGAGGAGGAGGTTTTTTTATTTTTATATATATACACACACGTGGGGAACGGAGCACATTAACTCATAAGCTATGACTGAAAGTGCCGTTGATTGATTTATTATGAGAGAAAATCACTACTTGTTGACTGAAAAAGTACAGCTTATAAGTCAAGCGAAGAAGGCGTACGCCAGAACGACACAACGGAGATAGCATAACGAGTGACATGGAATCGAAACGAGTCTCACTAATGTAAGATTAGTAATGCGGATCAACGGGAGAACACGTCGCTGGGTAGTTGTTGTCTAGGACCAAAGAACGAAACGCGTCCCTCATAACACGTTATCAGTGAGTCCATGATGATAAGTATTACCACACGCGCGGTCTCTGTTTTGTTTCACCTTTTTCCCTTCTTTCTTTGGGTCAAAGAAAATTTTGATGGAGAAAAGCGCAGAGAATGGAGTGCGAAATGTTACCGAGGGGCCGGAAGCTGCTGACAACTAGCCGTCGGGTTGTAACCAGGGGGTAGGAGTACTAAAGCTGTAGCGCACTATTGCTGACCATTTCTTGGACCTCGTAGATAGAGATATATTCGTTGGCCGTTGTTGTCGCCGTCGCTAGCTCGCCCATGGTGATGTCCCCTTGTCATGTCCGTGACCGTTTGGTCTTATCCGCTTCGTTCCTTCACCTGTGGGCTGTGGCTGACGGGTAGTTACGCACGCACTATATTTTTTTTTGAGATTATTACGAATCGGTATCAGCATTTGATACTATTGTTGACGATACCGATTCGTACGTGCATACATTATTAGTAATAACAATAATTTATTTCAAACGGATCCATATGGCTGGTCTGATGACTAGGTCTGGAAAAGGGGTGCCGGCCGCGGCCGGGGTGCCTGTGGTTCACTCTGGGCGTTCGGTACTATCGAACCGATCGGTTCGGTTCCTCGGTACCTCGGTAAATTCGGTTTCAGAGAAAATCGGTACCGATCGGTTCCACAAAAAATTCGATACCGACGTAATTCGGTATCGGTTCTTTCGGTTCGGTTCCGGTATTTACCGAAAGAACCGAACCAGCATGTAAAATCAGGTTCAGTAGCATTCTTCTCATCAGCACCAGCTTCCTTCCCATCAGCACCAGTAGCCCTGCCATGACTCAAGGCCTCTCCCTCTTCATTCCTTAGCCACTCGTCCTCCTGGAGCCCCCAATCACTGATTTCTTTGCCAATGTCTTCATCAGACTGAGACATCTGTTATATATCATCATTCAAGCGAAGTCAAAATAAACATCTAGATTCTAGAGAACAAAATTGCTCCATTAAGTCAAACATAGACTCGGATCGACTTACCTTGGACTTGGAGTCGCAGGAAGCAATGGAAGTAGCCGTCTTCGATGCCTCATTGTCATTTGCCTCTCCTTGCTCTTGCTCGGTTGGACGACCGGTGACGACGTGGGGTCTCAGTGTCTGGCCTCTGGGCGCTGCCGGGCCTTGCCAGCAGCTGCTGGCTGCGTGGAGCCGGGCGAGGCCAGAAGCGGAGCGGTATGCGGACAAGCGCCTTGGAGCGGCAAGCGAAGCAGCTGGCCATGTGATCTGACATGCTTGCTGAAGCCAGCCGGGCGGCGGGAGGAAGGCGGCGTCTTGTGCGCAAATATGAAGGTAGGTTAGGCGGCCAGGCGCGCATGCTTGGCGCTGGGTGGGAGTGTGGACGGCGGGCGATCGGCCGATCGCCTCATGAAAAGCCAAGTAGTGGCTAGGGTTTACTCGCCTTGGTGGGCTCTTTGTTGGGTCAATGAACATGGGCCTTAGTGCTTTACTATGTAAATTCGGTATTGTTCGGTACTTTCGGTTTACCGAGGTACAGAACTGAAAATACCTCGGTAAATTCGGTACCTGAGATCTCGGAACCGAACCTGGAACCGAATTTTTCGGTTTCGGTAAATTCGGTTCGGTTCTCGGTAAATTCGGTTCGGTTCTCGGTTTTCGGTAAATCGTGCCCAGAGTGACCTGTGGTTTTTCGTTTTTGGAGCTATTTGGCGCACGCTTTCGGCAGCTAGCTAGTTAGCACAAGTCGACCATCATCTGCGAGTCATGGCATGGCATTGCCCGCCGGGGCTCGCCACGTTCACATCGCACCTGCTGAAACCGCTGTCATCGGTCGTCCAATTCAGTCGTAGCCGGTAGGTGGCCGCCGCAACGCATGCTTCTTCTAGCAGAAGCTAACAGCAGGCCCTGTGATATGCACTATGGATAGAAGGCCTGTTCGCTTGAACTTATCAGCCAGCTTATCAGCTAAATTTATAGTATTTTTCTCTCACAACAAAACAGCTTCAGCCGGTTTATCAGCCGGCTTTAATACCAGCCGAACAGGGCAAGAAAGTGCTCCCTCTGCCAAAAAAAAAAAAATTCTAACATTGCACCGAGCCATTGGATCATAATTGAATTTAATCAGATTTATATTAAAAAAAATATTGAAATTTATGATGTAAAATAAGTGTTATTAGATTTCTCATTGAATACATTTTTGTAATACACATGTTTTTGCTGTATATGGTTCAACTTTAGATAGATCAACTAACTTCTTATATTAATGAATAGCTAGACCCCTATTATTTTCACCACGGAAGTAGCAGTGTATGACAGTAATGACAGTAATACTCTACCATATATATCAACTAACTTTAGGATGAAATGAAACTAGACCCCTATTATTTTCACCACGGAAGTAGCAGTGTATGACAGTAATACTCTACCATATATATTTTTGCTTATATTAATGAATAGCTAAGGTTCTGGGCATATATTAATTTTTGCTACAACGATGTCACATCCATTGACCTTACTTGGATCGGCACCTGCAGCTGACGACGCACGGTTGCTCTCCCGACGCAGGAACCAGAGCTGCTTCACGCGGCACGCAGCGCAGCGGGGGACGCGACTTGCGGCTACGGTTTATCAGCCAGACTCAGTCAGCTACAGTATTTTTCTTTCACAACAAAAATAACTTCAGTCGATTTATCAGCCAACTTATGTATCAGCCGAACAGCCACTGGCTGCACGGGAACTGTGCACGGAGCAAATTAGAAGTGCCCCAGCAGCCTCAGCTCGATGCCCAGATGACAACAGGGCCGACTATTCCAGTCGGCGCCACGTAAGTAGGGGCCGTGTGACGTGTCGGATCCAACGTGCGTGGACTTTTTTCCTTTTAGTTAGGACCTGTTGGTACAGTACAACTCAGCTTCTCAGAAAACATATATATCTGAGAAAAAGCTGGTAGAAGCTGTTATTTTCAGATTCACCTCGATTCCTATACTTTGAGAGGAGCTCTCTAAGGAGAAGTTATTTTCAAATGGCATGTTTAATAGAAGAAGCTGAAAAACAAAGCAGGGATAAAGTTCCTACCAAACAAGTCCATACTAGTTTCTACCAAACAAGTCCATACTACTAAAGGCAGCCAATCGCGTGGGAAGCGAGCTTCTTTTATAGAAGATAGAAGGAAAAAAACAGGGAGGCAAGCTTTTTTTTCTAAAACTGGTGTCTCTTCCACACACAAATAATGGCCCCGTTCGCTTCGCTGAAAAAACAAGCCGAAACATTGTTCCGACTGATTTGTTGTAAAAGAAAAACACTGTTCCACCTAAAAATAAACCAAAAAGTACGGATTATAAGACAAGTAAACAGAGCCAATAGGGCACTATCTTTTGCACACCGTGGCATCCGAGTTTAATTTACATGTACATCAAAGCTACTAATGAGGTCTTTGTATTAGGGAACGCATAATTGTTAGATTTGACCCTTCCATACATGTACCGTGACAAAACATTACTGCTATCAATATATTTCATCATATAAAATACTTTATTATAGTGTGTGTCTATATATATATATATATATAATAAATAGACAAAATTTCCGGCTATTTTGTTTTCATCCATCCATTTTTTTCGTCCACCTCCTCCTAACTACCGGTAGTCGAACGTTTCTTCCATCTAGACTTATATGACCCTAGATAGTTAGACAAATAGATGTCTCCAAGCCAGAATAAACTGAATAGGAATATGAATCCTAATTCAAATAGAAAATAAATTAGACAAAATCTTATTTTACTTGGCAAAGTTTCTGCCATGATATTTTTTCTGTCACCCGTATCTACTCAACCACAGGGACCTCTGTTCTAATCGGGTTTGTCAAAAGCAAACCACCAAATCCTTTACAGATTAGGATCAGGCACTCCCGCCTTTTAAAAATTGCACACACTTTTATATATATGGTAGTACGTACGCGTTCATAGATTTTTCTTTTTTAAGGTGATGACTGCATGCCGTATATAAAAGTGGTATTTATTATGTATAGAAAAAGAAATATTTATGTGTACCTGAATATTATACTTAAAACAAAATGAAGTATATTTGCATATATTAGTACGACCAGACCACATAGTAATGATCGTATATATGTCCATTTGCCCTCTGACAAAGATATGTGTGGATACATGTACATGTCTAGCTAGGGAGTATATGTCCACACACACACACACACATATATATATATATATATATATATATATATATATATATATATATATATATATATATAGAGAGAGAGAGAGAGAGAGAGAGAGAGAGAGAGAGAGAGAGTACGTACGCGTTCATACTTTTTCTTTTTTATTAGAGATATGTGTTGGGAATATGGAATATGATTAGACGTAGATTATGGGAACATACACGTTCACAGTAGAGTGAGGTATACTGAATTAGTACCGTGCAAGAGATATCTAGAGAGTTTGCA